TCTCATTTTTTATTTGTTCTTTGTTAATTTTATACAATGCATTTTGACCGCATTCATCCCCCAACTCCATATGGGATGCCTATACCACACCGTCTCCATTTCCTCTTAAAAGTCTTCTTGAGTTGTATCTCACTAGGAATTTGTCCATTTCTATTTCTCCATCTTGGTTTCTACTCTACAGCTATAAAAATTTTTTATAATGATCTCTGTGAGCTTCCAAATTTCTGCCATTTGGTAAACATAATTTGGGCCTGGGAAGTTCAGAAATAAAATTTTGCCACCTTAAATTTATTAAATTTATATTTGTTATTTATTTAATATGTGTAGACACACACACATGCCACAACACACAAATTTCCCCTCTTATATCATGTCTTTTTCGTCTCTTTCCCTGGCAGAATCACAACCACTGCTGCGTGCATGATGGATCTTCGGAGATATCCTCTGGATGAACAAAACTGCACCTTGGAGATTGAGAGTTGTAAGTTACTTGCTCAGGGGATGAGAAAGAAGCATGTTTGCCTAACACAGTTAAATTCAACCTTTCCCTGAGTTAATTGACACTGGGCTATTTTTAGTCACCAACTTTTCAGGGGTTTACAATTGCTGGCATTTTCCCTTATATTGGTGGATCAAGGGTCATTTCAGTGACATTACCTTTCAGACAATTAGAGAAAGTCCACTTATTTCAATTCATAAATTTATAAACATGTTCTTTCTTCCTCTTCTCTCATAATCTTACCATATCAAAGCTTCATTAAGATAGGAAAACATTTCAATATGAAAAGCCTCTATGAGGATATTTTTGGTTCTATTGTCTGTTAAAGTGAAGGATTGTAAATTGTCTTGTAGAAAAATACTTTGGTAAAATCTTGTGTGAATGATGTGTCTTTTCATGTGAAAAGTATATAATGATAAACGATACTTCATGGGGCTTGTGCTTTTGGCCAAAGGCAATAGTTTTCATATCTATGGGCTTGTCTTCTAAGGCTGTATTTCCTTGATTGCTTTCTTAGTAATGTGACTATTTTAATAACTAAGATCTAATCTGATATCTATCCTTGTATTGTTGTTTCTCAGCCATCAATCTGCAGTCCTTTGAGCCCATTAATTGTGAATACAAGAGGCAGACCATTTATTGGTTTCGAGAGGCAAGAAAAGTGCAAGAGTTAATTGAGACCATTTCTATATCAATAATGAAATGTGAAAAATTGGCAGATGTGTACTTAGGTAATCTAAAATAATTTCTAGAGTTAAATGTCAAGAAGGAAAGGAAAATGGAAAGCTTCAGCTGACCTTAGAGTCTTATTGAAGAATAAATGTGCCTTACTGCTGTGTTATTAAGCAATTACATCAATTTCCTATTCTCATTGTTTAGAAATAAAAGTGGTCCTACAGCGATAGTTCTATATTTAGACATCAGGATTGCTCTACTATCACTAGAATGAACAAGAAAATTTGAAATTATTCTTTAATTAATGTTCTAGTTTTAAAGATTGCTATTATTAAAATATATTATTTATGAAAGTATTAACAGTGATTTTTGGTTTAAATGCCAAAAATGACCAAATTTGAACTATAAACACATTCATTAATGCATAATAATAGTTTATAAATAAAAAAGAATCTCCATTCAGCCAATAAACCATTACTTTTGAAACTGGAGCAGAAAGAGGGGACAAACTGATGGATGATAACAGAAATGGGTTATCTTTTGCCCTTGACTACCCTTCCTTTGATTTTTTTTTTTTTTTTAACTTTGGCTTCTCCTGGAAAGCCCTGGGATCTGACATTGTCCTAAAATTCTAAGGTCTTCAATTCTCATCATTTAACTAGGGAGCAATACATTTTGTGAAGTAATTGAATTTTCTGTATTAAGAAATTACCAAGCCAGATATGGTGGTGCACACCTTTAATCCCAGAACTCGGAAGGCACAAAGATTGAGGCCAGCCTGGTCTACACAGCAAATTCTAGGCCAGCTGTGGCTACAGAGAGACCCTGTCTCCAGAAAAATACATCAGCATATTCTCCTCAAATTTGTGGGGTTTTTATGATGCATAGTAAGTTTTCCTTCTTTGTAGGCTGACATTTTTCCTTAAGATGGTATTCATTCATAGTAGAAACTGCATGATCTTCAAATTTATTCATTATATCATGTAATGATCAAAACAATAAATGAAGCAGAAATTAAATGTTTTGTAATAAAAATCTATGGAGGCAGGAACTACTCTGATATGATTTGAGAGATACGGTATCTGAGGCTCAGAGAAATAAGAACTTTAACCAAACACAAGGATAATTGTGGGATGGAGATTCAAGCCCACAGATACTCCACCACAGGTTTCTTCAGTCAACAGGTAAGGGAACAGAATATCAGGACTAGAAGTATTGCAACTGCTGTCAGCTAGACTATAAATCCTGAATCAAGCAATGACTAGTCTGGAATTCCAAATATTATCTCTGCTAAATGTCAGAATTGATCCCAGGAGCTAAAGCAGAACTTGGCTCTTAGATCAACTGCCAGATATTTATAGCTATGAAGGGAAGAAATCTTGTGCATACAGCAAACCAAGCAGGCCTTGATTCCACTGAACATACACAGACACAGACACAGACACAGACACAGACAGACAGAGACACACACACCACCACCATCACCACTGCCACTACCACCACCACCATCACTACCACCACCACCATCACTACCATGTCTCAGTATTGCATAGCTCAACATTTTATTTAAAATATCTTCCATCTTAACAATGGATAAACCAGTATTAAGAAATGTAAAATCTTAAAAATAATATCATATGGTAAAGTAATATAACAAAATACAGAGTCCATTTTTTTTTGCTTTTTTATATTTGCTTGCTTTGTTTCTACCCAAATGCAAAATAAACTGGTTTGTCCTTCATTTTTCTAAACTCTCCATAAATAAATGTGTCATTTTCCTGAAGCAGCTCACTCTGAATTAATGTATTATGACTAACTATAGCTGAGATTTACAGGATCTAATTCCAGTTGGGGGGTTATAGGAATGATAAAGTAGATATTGCACAGATATAAGATTGAGTTAATCTTACTTTTCTGTGACCAACTAAGTGGAAACTTTGCTTACATAACAGAATTTACCAGTGTGTATGTTATTCCCATTTAATTCTAGGGAAATGTGTTCCTTCATTAGGCCCTTTGAGACAAAATAAATATGCTTTGCTTATTTTTAATGTCATCTAATCAAGTAAAATTGGAAAGGCCATAAAGCCTTGCTAAATTGAAAATTTACTTGAACTTGGAGCAGATTAATAGCTTTATAGCCCTGGGATGCCATAAAATGAGGGAATAACATATAGAAAAATCAATCAAGGAATTTAGTATAAAGAAGATTCAAAATTTGAAATCAATAAAGCCATCATATGAAGGTTTGATAACCACAAGCCTCATGGATATATATAGATCGGGCTTTGGATAAAAATCATGGAGAATTTGGGTTGTTTTTCTCACTTTCTGCAGGATAAATTAAAGGGAATATTTAATCTCTGTTTTGCTTTCAGCATAGGGGATTCCCTCTTACTACATCCAAAAATGATAGAAGCCATTCAAGTCTGAACACTCTGGACTCTCATCCACATCTAACCTTCCTCATTCATCACCATTCTGAGTAACACCTGTTTTTCAGGTGGGGAAACATGAACCAATGTCTGTTCTCCTCAGATAGGGCAGCCATAGCAGAGCAAAGAAACCAGGATTCCACCCAATTGTAGCTTGACCAATTAACAAGCTTATTGGAGTTACCAACAGGAGTATTTACGGACCAAAAGTAGCTGCATCACTGAAAAGCCCACCCAAGGCCATTACAACTGCATGCCTGAAACTTCCTATGCAGTCTACAGGCAGCTCAACTGGCTAGAAAGCCTCCCTCTCACTGGCAATTGCTTATTGCTTGTATGGCCACGTGGATGGATATTGTGTGGCTTTTCCTGTAGAGAGGTGAACAACTGTCTGTTCACCCCAGATAGGGCACCAAGAACGGACCATTTTGGAGGGTTACTTACAGAAGTGTGTGTGTGCAAGGTTACTTACAGGAACACAGATGACTCAAATGCATCACTGGAAAGCATACCCAAGCATAGGTGATGTTTCACAAAATCTACACCCTTAAAGCTCTTTGTATTACCATTTGCTGGTAGGTCAACTGTCAGAGAGTCTGCTCTGTCCAGGAATGGTTATTGCTTGTATCACCTTGGGGAGGAGGCTTGAGAATCACCTAAGTTTCAGATATCTTCTGAGACTTCTCAATTTTGTTTACTTACTGAGCCTTGTAAGTTTTGTTTACTTCTTAAGTCTTCAAGAGCCTCCTTCCAGGATGGAATATATCAATTCAAAGGACTTAGCTACCTAATGCCCTGATTCTTTCAAAATGCTGTCTTGTATTGCTGTGATCTGTATGCCTGTGTCCCCCTAAATTCATATTGAAACCTACTCAGTAATGTGATACTATGAAAACACCGAGATACTGAGCAGAGTTCTTCTTAATGGAATTGGTGTCCAGAGAGATGCCATGTACTTTCCACTACTTATTTAAGGACAGAAGTAGAAGGCACCAGCTGTGAAACAGAGAGTGGACCTCGCGGACACAAAATTCTTCCAGTGCTTTTATTTTTACCTCCCGTCTAGAAAACCGTCAGAAAGATGAGATATTTATTTTTGTTGTTTATAACAACATAGTTTGTATCGCTTGTTACAGCGTCCTCAAAGGACTAAGATACTAATGCAGCACTTAGTGGTACTTATTTGTTTCCATATTTATTGTTTCCTTATCTGTGGACTATAAACTACGAGTAAGGGAACCTTTGTCTGGTTCACTATGCAGTAATTAAAACAAAGACACATCTTAAGACTACCTCAAAAATGATTGTAAATGTGTCAACCAAGAGTAAGAGAGGAAACTCCAGCATTTTAATCACTTTAGGAATTTAGGTAGGCTGATAAATGTCATTAAACACTGTGATTTTGCATTATCAGAATCCATCTCCTATATCAAATACAACCAAGTTATCAAGCAATGGTAAAATTCAGTGACACCTGGCTGGTTTCTTATAGGTTTCTTAATGAAGGCATTGTCTTGATGAGCTAAATTTAATGGGCCATCCACCAGGTCTCTGTTAGTCTCAGAATATTTTCACTTTATTTGAATGTCTTATTTGTATCAACATGTATACAGAACTTAAAATAAATGATTGATTATCTAAAAAATAAAATTGTTTTCTTGTCCACAAAAATGACAAGACAAAAAAAATAATGCATCTACCTAATAGAAAGACAATCTACCTATGGGAAATGTCCTAAGAAAATATGAGGTCTGCTGACTTGAAATGCTAAATTTTATTTATATAATATACTATAATTAATAGCATCTAGAAATAAAGTCAAAATAGTTGTAGTGTTCAGACATCAGGCACAAGCAGTTCTATAAAAGTACC